CGAGTCCCTTGAAGAACAACTTCGGCGTAGCTACGATTGCATCCTCTGCTATTCAACATCTTCATGAACGGCTCTTTCGTTAGTCACTCTTAAATGAATCAGATACGCAAACGGGTCAATAAAATCATCCAGTGACCGGGAAATATGCAAGAATTACATCGGGAATACATGCAACTACTTCTGTTTGTGCTTCGTACGTACATTGTTTTTCTATTTTCTTTTTCTGAAAAATCTATTTCTTTGACCATTTCATTGAAACAGCAGACTCATTCATTCCTTTATTAACCCATTAGCACATTGACCGAATACGAAAATCCGCATCAATTTAAGAAAATCCAGTTGCTTCAGACGCATGATGGAAATTTGCTCTCTAAAATCGACAGGCGTACGAAGTGCAGATTCAGATTTGTAATATTTGATACCCCTCGGTGCCATGGCTGAACTTGACCATCAGCAAAATGAGTCAGCAACTGACTTTACAATTATGTTACTACGTTTCAACTACTGTCACCACTATTGTTAAGAGTGATAATCCTTCCACATCGATGCGCACAAAAAATAATTCGCGATCAAGTTTATGGCGGCAGTTATGCAGTTTTTGCCATGACTGATAAACCTTTGCATTGTCTCCTGCGACTTAAGTTTACTTCATGGCATTTACTCAAACCGAGTGTTGTTTGTGTATGTTTTTTCGAGATAATCACCTTGAGCCGTCTGCATAAGCAGAACGTTTCTGAATTATTACATCCACTGTATTTGAAGCCTTTGAACACTTTTGCTGTATTACACAAGTTCCTGCATCGCAGAGAGAAATTTCCCATCCAAAAGGACGCCTCAGCTTATTCCTCTATGTTGCATGCTGCCTTCCTGATCGACGCCTGTCATGCCTGTTTCAGGCTGCAACACACAGGAAATTCATGGGCTGCAGTAAATGCTGCATTATCAACCAGTACCTTTAACAGGGTCAACCTTTATTCCTTAACCTCCACGTCAACCGAGGTCACCTATGTCATGAAAAGGATAGAATCATTCTACCCGTGACCCCGCAATTAAGCCCTCATTATGCGTTAAACCAACGCCGATTTACGCACTTCAACAGTCGTTCTTGCTGATTCATTTCGGCAACTGTTTTCAGCCGTATAACAACAGTGAAGTGACAAAAGCAAGGTTCTGGGGCATTTTATTTGAGGAGCAACTCATTTCTCAGCCAAAGCATCATGTGGGTTCGCAAAAACGATCCTGTCATTTAATTCTGCCTGGATAGAGTCATCTCTGGAGAAAATTGTGCTAAAATAATTAAACAGGTAAATCCCGTGAAGCGCTTTATTCCTTTTTTTCACCTGCAGTTCTCCTTATAAACTTTGATTTCTGGCGTTAAGGAAGAGACTGGTTTCCGCAGTTATGTCGCATACAGAGCCGCCAGGTGACCTTCTGTAACAACTCACCAAGACACCATTACCTACATACTCCATGCCAGCAGATGTACAGCTGTATATCTTGACTGGTGTATTCCTTATAGAATAAGACATTTGTCTTTACTAGTGTCAGAACTGTTTCGGAGAAGAAAATCAAGAACAGTATTGAATAGCAAAGGCAAAAGCTTATCCGCCTAGCATCTCCACAATTAATAAAGAACAAGTCAGACAGTACTCCAACTTTGACACAGAATGGTTCTTGCATATGCCGCTTCCAAAACAAAAACGATGAGTTTAGGTATCCCATAGCATTTCGAAAATTTCCACACTGTCAGATGATCTAATACAGCTTTAAAGTCCAGGAAACTTCACTTGAGGACGAATACTGACGAATGCCGTTGTCTTGAGGAAGTCAAGACAACGGCATTCGTCAGTATTCCTTAATGATCCTGATCCTAAGCAGAGTGAAAATTTGGTCCGGAAGGGAGTCTCTATACGAAAAACTGCTTGTTTCGGGTGACCTTTTCTATATTTGCCTCAGCTTTCCAAGAACAATGTAGGAGAAAAGTTTTCCGGGAGCATACCACAGCAGTATGATACCATGATAATTGGAATACTCGGTTACTCGACCCCCTTTAAATAAAGGAACAATTACCTCACACTTCCACTTCAAAGAATACCTTGTACATCCACATTTGATTTAGCAGGCTATGGAGTCTTTCTACAATCTCCGTTCTTCCGCAATGAATCAACTCGAGGAATTCGATCCACCCCGGTGTTCTTCACTTTGAAAGGCAGCAGCAGTTTCGGATTTCAAACTTAATGGATGGATCTCTATTAATCTCTAGTGATAGCAGAGAATTAATGGTCACAAATGACGAATGTTGAGGACAACAACTCAACAGCTTTAAAAAATACTCAGTCCAACTTTTGAGGCATTCCTTCTGGCCTGTCAATGGAACAACTTTAGAAACTTTTAAAATAAACCACTGCGTAGTTATAAATCAGATAATGGTAGTATATATTTGAAGTACCTTTTTGTCTACGGTGAGACCAATGGTTTGTTGGAGATTTGTCAAAAAGGGTTCCTTGCACGAGCTGTACAGCATCTTCTCTTTAATGGGCGTTTCAAGAGTGGGTAACGAGTATATGAAGACGATGGGGTTGCGCTGCACGCCGTCGTGCACGTGGCCGAACGTGTAGAAGTGGTAGCGCGGTTTTGACCTCGCGATGTCGTTGTTCAGTTCGACGAGGTTCACCACGCCGAACTTCTCCAGTTTTATTGCTTCATTTAAAGTATCGACCGACTGAAATGCAATCGATAAATAATTCTAACTGATAATTTCATAACTATAATTTTGAAAATAATTGTATAAACAGATGTAAAACAATTTTAGAGGTTTATGTGGACACTCTGCCATGGATGACCTGAAGCTAACAAATCTAATGTCATGGTTGGCAGCACCACATACTACTTTACAACATGAGAAACTTTTACTTAAAAACATTTCACCGCTTTGACGGCAGAGGCATTTGTCATGATCAGGGAATGCACAAAATTAAAAAACGAACTGCTGGGTCAGTTGATTTCTGGTCCGACTAGTGGAATCTTTGACAAATCGCAAATTAAGCAGTTAATCATGCTGCCCTCTTCACAAGTTTTACTGCTGCTGGCTGCTCCAATTCCTTGATTAAGAGGTCCTACTGTAGCAAAGTCATTGATCATCGTGTCATCACTGCTACCAAAATCATAATCGTTCTCCAGGGTACGGGCAACGAAACCAGAACAATCAGCATTACGGTACTTAAGAATGTGCTCTCTCCAATGTTCTGTTAATACAGCTTTGAGCGCTGCACAGGTATTGCAAATGTGAATACGACCACAGCTACAGCATACATTTTTATAGACAACGTTACTACTCTTCAAGCTGGGGTGAAGATCAAGCTTCTTATGCTAGAAGGTCTTCCCTGCAGAACACACATCAAAACAACACCGTTTTTGATATCGTCTAATTTCCTCAGATATGCTGCGTACCTAAAATATCGAGATAGTGGAATTACAATCAGTGAGGCAGGACAAAAGTATGTGCGCTAAATTACTGAATCGATTAAATATTTTGTATATCCGTTTTTAAAAAATACTCATGAAAAATGCTAGATGTCACTCCTGAGCAATCGATCATCGATGCAATAACTTAGAGCCTTATGACGCCTGCATTTCACCGATGAAGAGTGAATTAGGAATATTAGATAAATTGCTATGGTAACGGTTAGTGCCATGGCTTTCTACATACTGCAAACGATAATGAACTTATAGTCTCATTTGATAAGACTTTTGTAAAGAAATGCTACTGGTGATTGCTTTCATGTTCTGAAGTGACTTTTGTGCGATTTTGGTTATTTAAAGCAGATGTTATATTTAACACAAACCTGGGTATACTGAAAGAAAAAACTGGGTATAAGTTCGTTATTGTTTCCGGAAGTAGAAGTGAAAACCAACTTATCCTTTGTAAATCGAGTTATGTGGAAAGTAGCAAATTCGCTAACCGTTCCAAGTTGCACGGAGTTGCAATCGCTGGTCACCTTTGCCTTCTCTCCTCTCGTCAGTACACTCTGACAGTTAAAGGAGAGCAGAACAGTTTTACTGTTCGAAGTTTCAGTTATCAACTCCTACACGACAATGAGGATTCTTGTTCCGCATCACTGTCTTTTGTCTTGTTTTCCTTTGTTGCCTGCTGCGTTGTTCGTGAAAACATAACACCATACGATGCCGATAGCAATCAGGTTACCAGCGCGAATAAACTGCGCATATTTTCTTGCATAACCATTTTTATTCAATAAAAATTAACCCTGGTATCATAGATTCAGTTCAGTTTCGACAACCACTTTCTTTTCGAGTCAGAGAAGCAGAAGCGCCAGACCAAATTTCAGATTTTCCCGAGTCGGTGCCAGCATCTGAGTCTCAGCGGAATATAACCTGAAACTGAAGCAGAGTCCTTTCATACCCTTGCCCAAAACTATTCTTGGGCGTTGCCGGGGTTTTCGGCCGGTTCAGCTGAGCAAGTGGTAGCTCCTTTGCCTTCCTTTCTGGAAGCATTCGTAAGAAGTGGCCAAACCATCGCAACTGTGGCCGCTCCTTCCATAGTATCA